GTTCTCCCACGTAAAAAGTAAAAAAAAAGGCATTTGCGTATAAGGTTTTACAAAACTCCACACTACGTGTGTAACTCGTGTTAAGTGTAAAAAATAAAATAACTAGGATGGAAAGAGATTCTGCAAATCTGACAAAGTTTGACGGATCAAACTACACATTGTGGACGTTTAGGGTTTCTATCATTCTTGAAGCAAAAGACCTCATAGAATTCATAGACGCCACAACGACAGAACCAGATAAAGAAAAGAAACTAAATAAGTGACAGAAATGAAAAAAAGCTTCTTTACAAACAAAAATGATTATACTTATTCTGATCGAGAAAAGCCTACATTCAAATTTGATAAATTGTACGATTGCACAACAAATGTGAGATAAATTAAGAAATTTGAACGGTGACTGTACTGAAGACGCGACACAAAATGCATGGGAGCAGTTTTATACGTTTCGCATAAGCGGTGGTGAATTGATGGCTGTACAAATTGAAAAATTTGAGTGCATATGCAAAAAGCTCACAGGTATGAATGATACGCCATCGAAAGTAGCAGTGGTATCAAAATTATTATGCAGCTTACCGACAAAATTCTCTCCTTTCCGAATGGCATGGGAATGCACTCCCAAAATAGACACAGAAAAGGAAAATCTGATTACACGATTAATTCGAGAAGACATGTGTCTATGCGAAATTGAAGAGAATGCGTCATCGTTAGCTCTTTAAGTTTACGTTCTCAACTTGCAGAAAAAAGAAAACGGTGACAAATTTGGAAAAGGCGCTACAGCAAGATCTGCGAATAAAAAGAACATAGAAGAATTGAAGAAGCGAACAAAATGCGCATATTGCAAATAGAAGGGACACTGGGGTTCGAGAGTGTCCGAAGAAATCAGCGGAAGAGAAAAATTCGATAGAGGCCCAGACTAATTATCCTTCTAAAATAGCGAACGCATACATCGGCAATGTTACTGCGTTCCTCTCAAGTACTTCCGATGAAGAATAGAGTGAATGGGTAGCGGACTCGCGTGCAAGCAAACACATGACGTACAAAAGGGATGACTTCTCCTTTCTTAAGCTTCTCAGTGAAAGTTATTCCGTAAAAATTGCCGATGACAAAATTTTACCTACTCTCAGCGTTAGCACCGTGATAATCCATGAAAAAGTAAACGGTCAGTTTATAGAGAGGTAACTGCAAGACGTACTGCTTGTTTCAAACTTGAGACGAAATTTATTTTCAATCCTTGCGATAAATGACAAAAATGGCAAATTATCGTCTATCGGAGTTCGGCACGGTAAACTCTTTAAAATGCGGTTCGAGGTAAAATTACCAGCCGAATGCAATGTGACTCAAGCAAATCCACAGAAAAATATGCTCTGGTATGAGCAAATGGAACACATAAATATGCGTACTTTAATAAATATCAGTAGAATTATGGGTATTGAAGATTTTTCTATCGAAAAAGATTTGTTTTGTGAGACGTGTGTGATGGGAAGCAAACCCGTAAACCACATGCATTAGTAAAGCACACGAGCATGTTCAAGGCTGGTGAGAAAATTCATAGTGATGTTTGTGGTCCAATCAATGTGGAGTCACCGGTAGGATCAAGATATTTCTTGTTATTTAAAGATGACTGCACAAATTTCAGAAAAGTATACTTTTTGAAGCACAAGTCAGAAGTGTTTCAGAAATTCATAAAGTTTGAAAATGTTGTGCATACTTAAACAGGAAACAAAGTGAAAGTGTTATGGTCGGACAATAGCACAGAATATACAGCAGCAAACTTTTCTAAGCATATGAAAAATAAAGGTATTATCCAAGAGTTTTCGTCAC